GATGGAAGTAACAATCATCGTGATTGAAGGACTTCAACTTCGGACCAATTAGAGATTCATTTGAATTTATAATTTTAAAAACGTCCGCACCAACCGCTTTCCAGTACGTTTACAAACTTAGTCCGTTAGTCTGATTAATATGCAGGACTAATTAAAAGGCATCGTCGTTAACGCAGGCACATCACAACTGGTGGGAAACGGTACTTTTCATTTGCGTACCGTCGGAAACATTCAAGGTTTAGGCAAATTGTTGATGGCGTTGAATTTCGAATGTCGTTACAATGAAGTTCACCCTTATTTTAATATGAGAGAAGTAAGATGCTTAACATTCGGCTTTCTAATTTATTGAGGTCCGCGCACCTGAAGGTACATTTTAGCTTGTTGTAATTTGCACCAAAAAAATTAATGAATATAAAATAATCTTTCTTTTATCAAATACTAGCTGACACCCGTTCGTCGTTTCTTTTCGCAACAGTTTTAATAGCCTATCCTCAACATAAGAGTTATCCGACACTAAAATATTTTTTCAATCCGAACCTGAGATTACTCTGAACCCACAAACTCACAAACTTTACCCCATGATTATATTTTTATAGATCTCTCACGGTCTTCTGTCTTATTCACTCACTTTTTTTTTTAATTTTCTTTAATACAAACCTTGTCCGACAAAAACGAACACAAAAAAAAGAATTATTCAATTTGGTGCAGTCGTTCGGCAGTTACATACTTTGGCGATTCATTTTTATTTATATAGATTTCTAGGTCTCAGTCTTTCTTGTTTGGTCTTATGTTTATTCCTATTGGTTTCTTTTATATGTATTTGTTACTTTAAAAGCCCGAACTACGGTAAAACCTAAAATTTATCAACGAGTCCTAATTTCGATCATTTACCACCATTTACTAGGTACATCTTAAGATTTACTTCAAATACACGGTAAATGTCGATAAACAGACATGTTTAACATATAACAGAGTGGATCTGGCGCATGGCGGCCGCTGCCGCAGCCCGCTCGCTACACCGTAGTTCGGACTTTCACAGTAACATATATACATATATTATATTGAAGTAAATGATTGTCAAACAGTCATCAGTATCTTTCTATCAAACGTCAAAACGATAGACGCGATATACTTTTGTATGAAATACTAAAGCGTGACGTCATATCTAGCCTTTTTTTTAGAAGGCTTACTAGCAACTGAAATTGCTAGTATTCCCGTTAACCACTCCAGCTAAGCTAAATTGCTTGTATTAGGAGTGGGTTCACGTCGGTAGTGTACTCGAACCCACGACCTCTTGATCGCAAGTCCAATGCCTTAACCACTATGCTACCGCCCCTTTTTTTTTGTCAAACATTGACTTTTAATGTTGATTTGAATTTATGAAATAAAATATTTTTAAATCGATAATGGAGGACAATTCATACTGTACTTTAAGATATTAAATATAATGATTTAGGGTTTATTTAAATCGTGTCTTTTTGGCAGTACGGCAGAGGTAATTTCGAAAATTAACTCTCCAATTATTCCCCTTTAGAACAAATTAAGGGAAGGTAATCAAAATAAATTTGTTCAAGTTACCTTAGTCACGTTAGACTACGTGGCAGCGTATCGCTACTCGTAAATACTGGCACGTGCTCTGAGCGAAACGTTCAAAGACCCTCACCACATAGATTCTGATTTTGAAAGTGAAGATATTTGATCTTCACGTTCAGAATCAAAATCTACGTACATAACAAGTAGAACAGTTAAAAAATAGTGAAATACTCCGACTATTAATTTGACGACCGGATGGCGTAGTGGACTGCTATTCCAAAGGTCGCGGGTTCGATTCCCGCTCAAGTGAAACATTTGTGTGCATGAAATTGTAATGTTTGATATATATATAATAATGTATTTACAAAAAAATAGTATATATGTATTTATAACAGTTGTCTAGTAGCCATAGTACAAGCTCTGCTTAGTTTGGGACTAGATGTTATTAATATTTTTACTTGTATTTAAGTATGTTTTTAACCTCATAACTCTGTCATTTGTTAACTCTTTTTCTTAATTCTTTTTTTTTTCATTTGAAGATAAACATCTGTTTCGGTCAAATTTGAAGAAAATATAACACCCCAAGGCCTGAAAATTAGAAAAGAAGAATACCGCTTATATAATACATTGCATTGAAGACGTTTTTATTTTATTATTAGTTAACTTTGTAAAAAGGCTTCTAATAGAGCTAAATATAGAAAAAAAGAACAAATTATTGTAACTGATAAGAAAAAAATTGATTTGGATGACCCAGTTAAGGAAATCACATAATAATATGAGATATTGGACACGAGCTGTATTATATAATAGCCGACCTCCTCTATGAGGCATTAAGCTGATGAATTGTTGAGGCAAGGGAAGAATCAAATATATCAAACAAAAAACGAGGAAAATCATAATGTTATCTAATAGCAATCGCCATTCATACATAGATAATCAGCATCGTACCCAACAAAAGGTACTGTAATATAGGCAGTATAAAAAAGTTCCTACTCCAATTGTACGAAGGTCAGTTCAACGAAATTACTGAACGAAGTCCGCGAGCGTTTTCCATCAAGTCTGCCTAAATAAACAATGTACTTTGATACCATCTATATTTTATGGCCGCGAAAAATTCCGCCACCGGCCCCATTCCTCATGCAGATTGGAAAACTTTTCTAATAACCAATTAACTTATATCTGATATTCCAAAGTATTGTGTTTAAAATTCATCAGACGCGAAATTTGCATGTTTATGTTCAAATATTACTTGCACTTCTTCGCAATTGTGTATTCTTTGCCAAACTTTGTTTAATTCTGTTTTAAATTTTCTTGAATGACTTCATTACACAGTTCAAATTATCAAGGTGTTTAATTTATTCGAGGCACAATTCCTTTATGTCAGTGTATGTACATTCATATTTACACACATGTACAATATATATGTACATGTGTGTATATATGAATTAAAACATGTGTGAGTAGATTCAGTAAGAATGTAAAATTAATCTTCTTATAAATAGGCAAAACGATAATTACCAGGTCATTGTACAGTGTGTTAAGAGACATAGAAAATCCCTTGGCGTTACGTAGAGATGTGGCTTCATTCTGCATTCTCTATCGCATATATCATGGAGAGTACTCCGAGGAATTGTTCGGACTAATACCAGCCGCAAATTTCCACCATTTTGCCGTTCCACTCGGCAAAATTTTCATCCTCATTACCTGGATAGTTGGCGCTCCACTACTGTGCGCTTTTCCAGACATTTTTTGCCCCGCGCAACCAATCTGTGGAACGGGTTATCGTCTGCGGTATTTCCGGACCGATACGACCTTCAAACCTTCAAGAAAAGAGCGTACTCCTTCCTAAAAAGTAGGCAACGCGTTTGTGACTCATGAGTTGCTGACGTTCATGGGCGGCGATAGTCACTTTCCATCAGGTGACCCGTCTGCTCGTCTGCCCCCTCCAACATAAAAAAAAGAAAACCATAAAATCATCACATTATTTGCAGTGAAAAATTACATTTTAATATAACACGACGTATGTTAAGTCAGTGTAAGTTAAAAAGCATGTCTAGCCGTGTTATGTAAGATCTTCTTTCTGGCAAAATACTAAATGCCTGTCGAGTAGGGAATCGAACTTAGATCCTAAGTACCACGAACGATCGTGGTGCTTGGGTTCCAGGTGCGAACTTACCATTGTTTAACTAACCCACTAAAGCTCCACTAATAACTAAGTTTTTAAGAACTAGATTATCTTACCGGAATAGCCCATAATAAACCAAAAAAGCATAAAAGACTTTTCAGATTTATTATATTGAATAAGTATTAAGAATATCATCCCAAAAAATGCAAAACTGCTGAGTTTGTTCATATTTATTCACCGTTCACTAAGAGTGGATTATTCAGAAAGACGAAATCTGCTGATATAAAACGAAGAGGTCCGATCGTAAAAAAATAAATAGCAAGTAATAACACAAGGTTATGATAGCTCCAGTAATCCTTTATATGACACAATTCCGATCGCTCCACGCTTAAATACTCTGACACAAAATCATTGAAGGAGAGGTTACCTCATACATTACTCTGTACAGCTTCATATTTAATTATTAAATAGATGGGGATCAGTGCCTGAAGTTATGTAATATAAAGAAATTAAAATACGATCGTACCTATTGCTCTATATTAGGTAATATAATCTTGGCTTAGATACGGATTACTGCCTCAGTTATGTAAAAAAGATCTGACGTTAGAAGTGGCCTTAAAAATTTGAAATAAGATGGCAAAAATATAAACAAAAACAAAAAATCTCATTACAATTCCTCTTCGTATACCGCTGGGGTAACTTTTCATATTGTTACAGCCTGAAGCGATACAGTATACATAAACATATAAGTATACATAAAAAAGACATCTTGATATTGTAAAATACTTTTAGTAACATGTAACTTAATTACTGCCTTTTTCAGTTGCTATTTGAAGTCCGCCATTTTAATTTTAAATCTAAATATTATAAAGATCACAGACGAATTGACGTATTGCGCTGTGTAATAACAATACGGTTTAAACAAAAACTATAAATAGCTGTACTTCAATTCAAACTAATAACTCGTAAATTGTGTTGATGGATTTTAATTAACGTTACACAATCCTTAATTACTCGTCTCTGTGATCTATGAACCATACGAAAATTATAACACGCGTAATATGCTGTTTTAAGAACTTAAGTCAATTTTCTTAACTCGCGTGATCACGTGGATCGCTTTTGTTTACTTTACACACCAATTTAGGTTTCGATAACTGCAAACTACAGTTGAACTAATGCATTGTATGCAATTGCAAATAATAAGTTAAAAGGTTCTCTATAAATTATAAGTTACCAAACATCTCAGTATACCCACAGTGGAAGGTAAAAAAAAAGGTGCAAACAGAATGTACTATCTGTCCATTCCAATACTGTGGCAGCTCAACTCTTAAATTCAGATACAATGAAAAGTCTAAAAAGGAAAGGTGTATGATGAAAAGGCAGATAAGGCGCTAGCGTCCTCGTTTTCCAATCATAAATGAAACTTAATATAATAATAATGAAACTTAGATTATCGAATAAGAAACTTAATTTATTGCATCGTAAAAATAAGCATTGCTTAAATCGAATATGTATTTAAAATGGTTTTTATAAAATTATATTTACAAAAAACTAACCGAAATAAAATTGTAAACGTATTCAAATCGCAAATTGTTGGATTACCCACGTATCTAATATTAAAAAAAAAGGTCCATCTACCCACTTACCAATTTAAAAATAGTCAAAAAGCATTTAATACCGGAGTGCAAAATAAGGGTGGCGGTGGACGTCGCATAGCGTCGGCTGAGTTGTGGCAGATTTATGGCCAGATATATCATCTAAGGCCGCCTGCAGCCTCCGCTGATCTCGGCCGAAATTAAACCCGAATATGAGATTTTTATTGTATCCTGTTTTGTTTTGGACAGATAGTAAATTATGATGATAAAAGATACCTATAATACTTATTCCTCTGTTACACCGTAATACAGTTAGGTTTCATATTATTAAATAGTCTTTTTAACTGTAAATTTGGAACGTGTCAGCGTAAATAAGAAGTGTAAATTAAATATTGGATGTTTATGTTTACGTAATGGGTTGTAAAACTATCAACAGAGTTATCAATTACGCGCGCTAGGAGGTTAGAACATTTTACGATGCAATAAGACGGGTTGATTGCCTATTCCATCGTGTGCTAATTATAATATATACAACTATTACGTAACTGTATGTAGGCTTTCGGCTTAACGGCTATACGTAAAAATGTATAGTCAGATTTCCAAGTTACATATTGAAATTACACAATGTGATCTTTCATGAAAGTAATCTGAAATTTCCTGATCTTAATCACAAAACATCCCAAATAGATGGCCTGTTTACAAACAACTAATTGATTTCAACAAATAAGATTACTCATATTTGTATGTTGATATTTAGTTGTTTTTTTTAGGCAGGCAATCTTTCGGACGGTATATTTGTTTGGTGCCTTGGTGGTATATAATAATATATTATATACTAAAAGTCTATTAGAGAAAAGAAGGTGTATAAAATATCGTTCTACATAAATTGTTAATTATTGTACCTCCTGAATAATTTAACATAAAGCTTATTATTTCCAAACTCCACAAAACTCTAAGTCCTATTTTGAGTCATATATATACATAATATAAAGCCGTAAGTACAACGGAAGGCGAAAAACAAAAGAGGAAATTCATCGACTGTACAAGTTTCGTGAACTTAGCGAATCCCCATTTTTTCCTGTCTGTCGGTCCCCAGTGTATAAAGCTTTAGGAAGGCCATCTTCTTTCGAGCGCCACAAGCGAACGTATGTAGGTAGGCTTTAATATGTAGAGGAGGATAGAACTATAACTCTATGTTTAACTCCTATAAATTCTGTAATTTGTGAGAGTTCATAAGCGCTTAAAATTCTGCCCATTTAAGCGCTTATGAACATAAAATCTCTTCGTAATAAACGTCGGTTACAACTCTTACTAGACATAAAGCAAGCTTATTATAATTTTAATTTAGACACGAGATTATTATTTATTCTGTTTAGATGTATTTTGTATAATAAATAAATAATTAAGTGTATTTGTTGAATTCACATAACACGTTGCTTCTTTATTCTGGCAGGTAAGTTAGAAAGATTTTTAGGTAATGTAAATATACGATTTCGAAATATAATTGTGTGATTCTAGATGGTCCGTATATAAACACAATTTAAATTAAAGATAATATCGTTCTGATATCAAATACATTATCTACGTATTTTGAAATGCAAAATGATGTCAAAACCTTTTAAAATCAGCAGTTCCATTAAATTATATTATTCAACTCAGTCTGATTACGGCAGAATTATTGCATTATTTATGCAGTCGATATCCAGAGTCTGTCGCTACAGTCAATTCGAATTCTATAAGCTTGCCTACGTTTCTTGGGTGTCTATGGTGAATATTCATATTCATTCTCTTTCCAGAGTTTGGAAGAACGAGAAAAGAGGCACGTAGGACACAAGGAGCAGTTGGCTCGGGAACAGCGCTACCTAAGACGGCGGTTGACGCAGCTATGCGCCACGCCCCGGGAGGTGACGCGCACGCTCTCCGAGAGCTCGATGACGCACGCGCACGCAACGCGCGCTGACTCGCTATCCTCTTTAGAGTCCTCTTCCGGAGTATCGACTGCGGAGCGGTCGCCCTCATCAGTCTCTGAAAGTGGTGAGTTTTTTTTTCTATACTTCTTAAACCTCTAAGAAGCATCTTGGCAGGGAAGTATACTGCCTCCTCGAAAGCAGTCAAAATTTAAACGGCCATTTCCAGTCATTACCCAAAGGTCATGGATGTAACAAGAATATTGGATAAGCTGTAGATTTCAGAGAAGGTTTAAGAATCATTTAAAGTATTGATTTCCTGATCTTTTTGTATCTTACTTAGTATTGTGGTTAGTTCAAAAACCATCACTGTTTATTAACTGACGGGCTTATCGGCATTCTAGTTGCAAGCCGGGCCTGTCAAAATAAACGGGCAGTACACTGCAGCTATGCCACACAAACATATGTCGATATTTGCCAGTCGATATATGTCAGATAGAAAGGCATATGGTTTTGAAAATTAATACTAAACCGGTAAACTAAATCGGTGTTTAAACAGACTTTTATTAAATCAGTTACAGTGTAATAAATATAGAAGTGAACGGTATTTATTCAAATTCAATAATAAACTTATTAACTTTTACATCATGATTGTTATTGTCGTATATTATAATTATCAGACAACGCAATTTCCGTAACGGCATTCACCTTTGCCAAATAAATTTAAGTTAGTGTCCGACACTAAGCCGTACTAATAAACGAGTGACAAAACAATAGCCAACGTAATTATTACAACTACAAAGGAAGATTTTGGTGAAATTAAAAACATGGTGGAAAACAAAGCAGATTAAAACGTAAAGCTTCTAATGAATAATGAGTGAGCTTGCTGCCTACTAGTAAGTACTACGAAAGCCGCTGAATTTGGTTGGAACTGCTGAATAAAGCGCTGTACGTGCTATGAGCCAGCTGAAAGGAACAAACAGGCCATTGTAAGAGGCTTAGAAGGATGGTGGCCATGAAAACGGCGTCTTTCATAGATTTGTTTTGAACGTGTTATATATAATGATTTTAATACAATAATAATAGTCAAATATTTTTGTTACAATATACAACATATTAAATTTTGTTCATTACAGTACATTCTTCATTACATGTGAGAGATTTAGTTACTCCTAATTGTTTTATTAGTTCGTAAGAGGCTTAGAGGGAGGCAATGAAAAGAGCGTTCATTTTTCTATGAATTTTGATTTGAATATTTTTTGTAGTCCAAAAAATATTACTAGATTTTAAACTATCGCGTCCCTTAATATATGATGTGTATAACATGAATTAATGGTATGCATAATGTGCACACGAAAGGTATTAAGTACATACTGGCCATGGTGACAGGTTAACTCACAGTGCAATCTGGTTAAAACGTCTTGCTTCTTCTTGTCTTCATTTCAATAATTTTACAATTGTATGCTCTGAGTCCTGTTACCTTTTAATATTCTTAATCCGTCACCACACGGAATTCCCCCCCCCCCCCCCCCCCCCCCAATTCATCCCGTGGGTGTTGTAAGAGCCGACTAAGGGAGCAAACTAAGCAGGACAACAGCACTGCAAAGAGAAGGAAAACTTGAAACAAACCCTATACCAACCCGTGTGGCCAGCGTGGTATAGTAGGCCAAAACCTCCTTTCTAAGGAGAGGCCTATGTCCAACAGTGGACTAGTATAGGCTGAAGATGTGTGATGACCTTTTAATATTTAAAATCTCATCAAAAACATATTGATATGTTCACGACCATATAAGTACTCTTATGCTCTAGACACATGACACACAGCCGTCTAAACCCACACTAGGCCTACTATATGGTAACAAAATTATTAAAAAACCACTTTGTCCTTAATTTTTATGTGAAAAACATACAAGTTATAGACAAAGTCTGTCTACAGCACAGGACAAATGCTTGATCTTATTACATATTTATTTGTCTTGGATGGAAACCGATCACACGACCTCTGATTCAGCAGTATCCCTAACCACTAAGCGAACAGGCCGGTAGGCAGGAACATATCGAACTTTATAAAGTCAAAACAACATTTAAATCACCTTTATGTTCCTACTGCTTCCGAATATATATTTATCACAACTATAAATATAACCAATTTCCAATGGTTAAGTAATAACCATCCAAAGTTTGTGTGTAAATATATCGCCTACCCTTTTGCCTTCTTCAACTGAAAGATTAAAGATCATAAAACTTTTTTCATGAAAGGGAGAATGTAACAGATATCAATAATATTTATTACAAAGTTAAAGTAACTGTAAATATATAATTCTTCCACTGTACACTTGCAAAGTTCCCCTCCTAACCTAAATTCACATTACGCGATTTTTATGGCCACCGTACAAAGGCGCGTAGGCCAGCCTACATTGTTACCTTTTATTTATGCATTAACTTTAGCAATTTAAGAGTCGTCACCACACTTATTCTTACCGGGCCTCCATCCCTTACCTATTGTTACCCCACAAAAACTTCCAACACATATCTTTATTTGGTTTTTATTCGTATTCAATTGGTGTGCTAAACAAACTTAATGTTTTTGCCGTATAAAACAGATCCTGTTAAGACTTTGACAAAGCTACCAAATAACAATAAAGAAGACATTCCGCAACCGTTACTGTTTGATCAAACATTTCGACTGTTACGACAGAGGTCGTGGGTTCGATTTTCACCCAAGATAAACAATTGTGTGATGAACACAATCATTTGTTCTATGTCTGTTTATAAGTAATCTGGTGGTTTATAAGTAATTCGGCAGCGCCCTGTTTATGAGATCGGTGAACTTATAATTATCATTATAATTTTAATCAACAGAAATCAGTCCTTAAATTAAATTTCACGATCACGTGACGTGACGATCAACTTTGGATAGAATTTATAAATAACCGTTACGTGAATTTCAATCATGTGCCACTATAAATAAAGTAGAAAATTTAATACGCTAGAGCAGTCACCTCGTTAATTAAGGGTGCGCACACTACCCACGGCTACTGAAATCGCATTACCGTAATCGCATATGCGAAGTGACGCGAAACGCGACCGCCAAGTCCATCCGTATATTGTGTTACCCGGATAGATGCGTTTGTCCCTGTATCAATTTATAGCTAACATTTACGAAAATATTTTAAGAGGTGGCTTTCGTATTTATAATATACAACATTATTGTACAAGTATTTACAAAATAAATACATTATTTATAATCCTAAGATTTGGTGTCAGGCATCCCAATCATTTCGCAATACGTAGTACGTTAAATGAGAAGAAAACCTCCTTTCTGATAGGAGGACTATGTCCAGCAGTAGACTATTAGAGGCTGTTGATGAATAAAGAACGTCGAGTGATCAGGAAGAAGAAAAATTATTGCTCCGACCCTAAATGAATTCGGGTAAACGGTAGGAAGATGATAATGATTAAAAAACCGATGATTAAAAGGTAGAATGATATCCTTAAGATAGTCCGCATTTCAATTCATTCATTCGTTCAGTTAACGAGAGTTTCATCCACGTTAGGCATTAGGCTTTTAATTAAGAGTAAAATATAGTAGTAGTCACACACAAAATCAGCACGCAGTTAATAATGAATTCATATTTTATCTATGGTATCAAATCTTAAGTGATATATTTACAAATTTTCTCATTTTGATCAGATCAAATCAAAATTATATTAATAAAAACACATTTTCACAGGCTGACTCAGTCGAATCGAATCGAATTGCAATTAAAATATAACTTCGTACCAATATTAATTCGAAAACGGACTCTTGAAGTAGCGCATGCCTACTTACGTACGTACGTGCAGTTGTGTAAGTGCGTTGAGTGTTGTTTGTTTGCGTTTCGAGAGCGGTGTCGAGCCCGTCAGTACGTGAGCGTACAATGGAATTGGCTTTAACTGTTTTAATGTACTTAAAAGTACGGTTTACGGTTTTTCCACACTTCTGCTACTTCTTTGCATAAGTGAATTATGTAAAATTGTGAATTACATATGTTTACTTCTTCATTGTTTACTTCTTCTGACATTTTTTGTGTAAGTGATTTTATTGAGGTGAATTTACACGTCTATATTTATTACTTATACTCGTAAGTGCAACGATAAACTCTTTATTTTTTTATCTGTCCATATCAAATGTTACTGAGATGGCAATCATAGAGGTCACTGTACCTTAAAAGCCTCTAAACTAAAACACAACCTTTTTGAATAGCACTTTTGGAACCATATTTATTTCACTTGTTGGCTTTTTCTAGAAATACTTTTTAACTTATCTAGTATGGTAAACTCAGATAAAAGTTATTTCTAAAACTGGATTACGGGACTTATGTATATTCCATGAAACGCTGTACTGTGTTAAAATTTTCGGGAATATAAATTAAAAATAACCAGAACGTTTATCTTACAGTACCTTTTATTTCAATGTAAATATTTAAATGACTAGGCCTTCATTAACTTACTAACAAGTACATCAAATGCCGTAAAACATCAAAACAAACCTAATATAATTATCTGATCTTAAAAAGGTATAATTACAGTCACACAGCATACACCTAAACCTCCATAAATTAAAGAAATATATAAAAGTGAGATCCAACAAAACAGGTAATGAACGTACCGTCTATTCATTACGAAACTTTACGAATTAAAACCGGTAAACATTATGAATTATGTGCTCCCACCTCTACAACGTCGGTGAAGTACGAGAATTTCGGTTGAAATTTTCGAATAATATTTACCTGAATGGATGTTAACTGAAAGCGTTAGAACTAAATACGGGTTGTGAATTAATATTTTAATTAATAATTTAAAACTTTTTTAAATGTGTTATATATTTGGGATAAAAATAGATGTTTATATACTTTAATTTCTAAATTAAGTGTAAATGGAAATCCTAGTCGAATATTTTTTTTGTTTTAATTATTGTTTCTCTATTTCAATTTCAGGTAATTAAGATTTTTAATGTTTTAGTAAAATGCTTTTCTGAATCTAGTAATAATTATAAAAAATTACATTTCTTATAGAATTGGTGAGCAGAGAGTCAGATTACATTCAACTACTCACTAGTATAGTTCACTGTAACGGAGCCGAACT